GGGAAAAATTCCTTCCCCGCAAGGGCTGTCAGGCCCTGGAAGGGGCTGTCCAGGGAAGGGGTCGAGTCCCCATCCCTGGGGGGATTTAGAAGCCGGGCAGAGGAGGTGCTTAGGGCCAGGGTTTAGTGATGGGATGGCAGGGTTAGGGGAACGGTTGGGCTTGGGGATCTTAAAGGGCTTTTCCAACCCAAATGATTCTGTGATTCTATGACACCAGGACTCCAGCTCTGGTTTTCCATAATTGCAGCCCAGTTTGGGGATAGGAGGGAGCCTGGGGCAGGCCACCTCTTGCCACGCCATGCTGGGCATCCCCATGCCTGCTGTGTGCTACCAATGCCTGCTGAGATACTCACTTCCAGGTCACCTCCAGGCTGAGTTTGAGGGTGCCCAAGTCGTTGATATCCACAGCCACTACCTGGGGCAGAGCTGCAAAGAGGTCCTTGGTCTCGCAGGACACATTGCCCACCACAACATGGTTGGCCAGGCTCTTTAGCTCTGTCACCTGGAGAAGGAGAGGGAGGAAAGGATGAGATGAAGCCATGGCCTTCATCTTATCCACGCTGTTTGCATTCAGGCTGTGTGCCAAGATGCTTAGGGCCAGGGTTTAGTGGTGGGATGGCAAGGTTAGGGGAACAGTTGGGCTGGATAATCCTAAAGGTCTTTTCCAACCCAAACAATTCTGTGATTCTATGATGCCACCACCACCAGACAGCCTCCTCCCACCCCAGCGAGGGTGAGGTTTAGGTGAGGTCCACGAGGCCCACACCATCCCTGCCCCCTTCTGCACTGTACCTTGATGGAGAGGAACTCGGTGACAAGGGGCAAGAAAACCATTTCCTCGCTGTCCCACACTTGCTTGCTGTTCACCTCAATGCGCCCCCGCAGCTTCCACCGCTGCCGTCCGTACTTCATGAAGATCTGGGCATGCAGAGATGTGAGTGTGGGGCAGATACAAGCGCCCAGGCAGCAAGTGCTCTCTGTGCATCCTGGGGCATGGCCACCCACCATGCCACCCACCATGGCCCCGCAACATGCCCTCCATGCCAGCGCCCACCTACGCCTCCCAGGCACCCCAAGGACCACAGGGCAGGAGAAAGAGCAGATCCCAACCCGTATGGTCACACCAACCTCATACTGGTCACCAGCACAGAGCCGGGCAAAGCCTGCCAGTCCTGCAAGAGAAGGCAGAGGGGCATCAGCAGGCAGCAGGCAGGCAGGCAGCGGGCCAGGGATGGAGCAGGACGCGTTACCTTTCATCCGGACATGGAACTCGCCCAGCTGGCTCTCCAGCTCGTTCTCCAACAGACACATGTTCTGGGGACAGATGGATGGACAGCACCCATCAGCAGCCATCCGTGGGACCCAGCACCCTGCCAGCCCACCCCAGGCAGCTGCCTCACCTCCGTGTACTCCTTGTAGCCCTTGCTGGCCTCGGCCAGGCTCTCGCGTGCCTCCCGGCTGCCTGGCGAGCCCGTGCTGTAAGCCTTGACCATGTTGTGGGCTCCATCGCGGAGTCGCCGCTGGATACAATAAGCCTCGTAGAGCTCATCTATCTGCAAGGACAGGCCCAAGCTGCGGTGAGGAGCAGGGCAGGAGACAGCACGGCCATCCCAGTGCTGCCCTGAGGTTGCCCCGCGGTGACCCTGGTCCCCAGATCTCACCTTGCTGGCGTGAAACTCCAGGCGACACAGGAAGCGCTCGATTGACTTCACTTGCTGGAAAAGCAGAGGAGGTGGCGTGAGCGGC